CCAAATCCAGTGATTTTCGTGACCTCAAAACTTATCCCAAATTTTTATGTATTTTAGGCTAGAAAGATAAAATTTAAACAAAAGATGACGTTCTATAGGTAGTCCACCCGGGCCTTAAATGATAAAACGTTGAAATTAATTTCTTTTATTTTCGAGCCCTTTTCGTACTTACCAACAAAAAAGTTAGTACACATTCATTCTTCTTAAATGCCATTACCGGAGACATTGTTTAAAACCGCAAATTAACTTCTAAGTAGTAAAGTTGGATTCCACTAATTATTATTACCAGGTTAATACAAGTGATAGACAATCTGTCCATATGCAGTTCCCCCTTCTCGTGATCACTACGGGCTCTGCTCATTTTTACCATTAAATTCTATGTTTTTGAGGTCGAAGAATCTGAGCCTGATAGTCATTTCGCCGTCTTATTGGCCTTCAATTGTGATCAATAAATTTACCATCTTTTTTTAATGAAAAAATAATTTTACCGGAGAACTAGCGGAGATACAAAAAGAAGAGTTTAGACTGAAGTTATGGATCTTCCTCTCAGGAACAAAATATTTTTTCATTTTTGAAATCGGTTATAATACACCGGTTAACGCGTAAAATTAAAGTGTAGAAGCTTTGAAAACTGAGGAATTTGTACCAGTTGACGTACGAATTATAGTACGCCTCGTACATGCTGTATTACAAGATCAAAAAAAAATCTTGATCTCTTCTTGTTCTGGCCCTTTTCATTATTAATACTTTAGAAAAAACGGAGCTGAGATATAATAGAATGTAATTTGAAATCGTAACCAGAGGCCACTGTTTGCAAAAGAACTGTTCTCTCGGAAGAACCTCAACCAACGGTTATCCAACGTACCTGAAGTTGAAAAAATGTCCTGAGCTCAGAGGAATAAAATAATTCCATTCTATTATATAACAATTCCATTTCTCTCAAATACTGATAATGATAAACGGCCAGACGAAAAACTTCAAAATCAGTGTCACAAAGAGAAATCAAGAATTTTTTTGATCTTGTGATACAACATAGGTCATGTCTACCACGATTCGTACGGCAGTTTCTTCAATTTCCTCAGCTTTGGAAGCTTCCAGACATAAGGAGTGAGGCGGATCATCCATTCAAAAGCTTTTTTATCTCTAGCACTGATAGTCAACTGAGTTCCAGGCCACAAAGTATCACTCTTTGCCAGAATAAAAGCTCGCAAAATCGAAATATCACGATATTCATTTGTTCATTTAAATAAGCACTATAAATATATATTTTTGAGAAGGCTATATATACAATTGAAAAATTGTTCAACAAGGCAAAAATGGTGAATCCACCCGACGTTCGTCAATATAATGGCATTAACCGGTATATTATGGATATTATGTTAGCGCTCGATATCGATACCTCGATAACCGTTCAGCCGATTTCAATTGATTACAAAACATTTTGTCCGTGACAGAAAGATCTAATAACAAATGATTACCCAATGAGATGACGAAATGATCATCAAACTCAGATTTTCGGACTTCAAAAACAGAGATTCCAATGATGAAAATGAAGGTAACTCGTAGTGAATATGGGAGAGGGGTTTTGCGTATGGACTGAAATGAATACTACTCATAACCTTCATAACTCATAAACTTGCCAAATCTTGAAATGTCTCCATAACAATATAAAACCATCAGGAGCATATAATTACCTTCGGATGCTCTCGCACGGGCACCAGGACCTTGACAGACACCCTTATAGGTTTCTCCCTGTAGATATCTACATACTTAGGATCACGAACTGGTTTTCCGATGGCCTGTGTCTTCTGAATCTCTAAAAACCCAATAGCAAACCAAAACTGTGAATTCTGCAGATTTTATCTCTCTTCTAGAGGATCAAAGCCAACATCAGTGAACAAAGCTGTAGAACACAATCAATAGGACAGTTTAGATAGATGTCAGGAATCTGTAGGACAGATTAATTAATCTTTGCCCATTTCATACGACTTGAAAGGACCTCGGTAAATCAATTTGAATGATTCTCCTACCAATTGATGCAGCCAATTCGCATTTTCGAATGGCATTCACGTTCACATGTTAAAAACACTGACATCGATAGTCGCTTGACGCTTCCACGCATAAAGTAAATAATTTTTTTAACCCAAGTAAATTTTTCCACAATTTTTCTCAAAGAAAAGAATTAAATGATTTGTGATGTTTATTTACCTTGATCGATGAGGCGGAGGGCATTGGGCCACTTCTGAGGATCGATGGCAAGTTTTTCAGCGAGCAACTCTCTCATGTACTCGCCAACCTTGTCTGCCTGATGATCTTTTTCCTCTCTGTCCTTCTCCAAAGGTATCCTCGGCTGGTCTTCACCACCACTACCAGCTCCACCCCCTTCGTCATCCATCTGATACTTGTATTCTCCGTTACTCGATTTATCAGTCATCACTCGCTTTTTCTCCCTCGTTTTGACTTTTCCACCCTCCAGTTTATAATCGTGAGCTAGCACTCTCTAACCCGCCTTCACGCTAATTTCTCTCGATATCTTCCGATGTTTATTCTATCGTCGTTTGGAGATGTTTATGGCGGGAGGGTAGGGGTTGGATAGGATTAAGTGGAGTCCCTGGGAACAAGCTTTACAAAATTGCCTCCAGAAGTAACTCACCACGGAGATAATATTTGGGGTATGATGGAAAAGGGATGATGGCGATGATGGCGTCCTGAGACTCCTGGGTGTTAGGGTGCAGGACTGTAGGTTAGGTTTCACTTACTAGTACCATATACTAAATACCACTGCGCACCACTCGCACCACTGCGCACTCTCGCCAGCAGGCGTGCCATTCGATTGGTATAACTCACATATGTAGGCATAATGTATATAAATATACATATAGGTATACACATCTTGTTTCACCTCTGGTTTACATTGACGCTTTGCTTACGGCGTTTACCGGTGCAAATCGTACAAATGAATGCTTGTACGAGTACGAGATACGAGATACGAGATTGAAGCAATCAGAATTTTTAACATATGCTTTTTATTCATTTGGCCATTTAAGCGGATCACAAAGGATCGATATCATCGGTATGGAGCACAAGTTAATCGGTTGCAGAGAGGAAGCAAGCAGAGAATTGAATTTCGATATGATTACCAATTAAGCAGCAAATCTTCCATTTTCAACAATTGCATCCATTTTAATTCCATAACATAACTTTTCTTAAGTTCAAGTCAAATTATCAAAATAAATATTTCAATGTGTTATTAGATGATTGTCACATAATTTTTTTTTTCTCAAGAAACATTTACACTATCAGAAAATGACTTTTCTATTTCTAAGCAGAAAAACACTATTTTTATGCTTTTTTATAAGGAAAATTGAACTAATTTTTTTTTTCAGTTCAACGAAATCTTAGTGACAAATTATCCAAAAATGAAGTTGCATTTTACTGCTGGAATACCAAGCATTGTCGCGCATATCCAAGAAAATTAAAACTTTTCGCTCCCTACCAATAGTGATTGAAATTAGGCAAATATTGGGACATGATATTTTCCTGAAGAATTAATCGAATGAAAATTAAAGTTTCATGTTATAGTATAAACTTTCACTCAAAGATGAATATATCGACGAATTGTCGAAGTTCAATAATCTGAGGTGGCACTAAAATAAATTATTAGTTGGAAAATTGCCTTTAAGAACTCATGAACAATATTCAAATCTAGGCCAGTTCCACAATTTAACGAATTCTAAATTTAAACAATTCAGTGCCTAATCTCTAAGCATAACGTTACTGACAATTAGAGACACAATGCTGAATATTTAGGTAAAGTTTAATGATTTTTCCAAATTTGTACTAGATTCAGTAACACTTTCCTTCATTTTCAAGCCGAATTGCATTAATAGTTATTAGGTTTTTCAAATTTTCCCCACTGCACAGTAATTATGTAGAAAAACATTGACTCTCTCGCTTTATTCTGTATCTTTAAGAAATAAACTTTTTCAATTTTACAAAAAAATTTCCCGAAATTTTAAAGATTTCTCATTGAAGTTGAAGAAAATTTCGAATGTCGAGGTTTAGGACTTTTTGTGCTTATAGACAGACAATTTTTCATTTTTGGATGAAAGTAGGGCTTTTTATCTTTATTTCGACCGCTTCTATTGAACATTTTCCGAAAAAACTCCTCTACCAGTCATTCGAACAGTTATCACCATGCAAAATTACAAAATTTACTTTTCTTGAAAACCTGCTACGTTTCGAATACATTGGGCATTTTTCGTGAGGCCACCTTATTCCATATTATTTATAATTCTAATATTACTCTAAGGTCAATTCCTTTCCATCCAACAATAACTCCTTAATTTAGCGTGTATTGTTTTTCAAAATACAAAATAAGCAGTTGGCCGAGCCTATTTGGCACTAGATATTTAATCAATACGTCATGCGTTAGTCTTTGGCAATGGCAATATCTCTTAAACGCACTATCCGATCCAGCCCATTTTCAGTAGGAAACGTTGTGGTCATACGAAGAAACTTTCTGCCCGATTTCAAGTTGATCGATTGATTTTCAAAAATCATAGCGCGTACAATGAATTTTTTTAGAAAACACAAAAAATTGACATATATATATTCTGATCAATCTATAAAGACCATATCGAGACAATCATTGAAAGAAATGAAAATAAAATTGATTGCATAATTTCTGAGATATTTGCAAAAAACTTTTCAAAAATGATCAGCGAAAAACTACTGCCCCGATCGGACTGAAATTTAGCACAGATCAAGTCCATATTAGGACCTTTTTAAAACACATGGTCGAACGATTCGAACGCTTCCATTCGGAAACGAAAAACCGAATAATAGCAATATCTCGCTATTTTTCTACGAATGGGTTTACATATTTCCGTAACTTTTTGTGTAGTATCTCTGAAATCGCTCAGCCGACTGTGCCCATCCAAAATACAAACGTTTTATGTTAGAAGAGCCAGAAGAGTACAAACTGTCAACTCGCTATCTCTATTTTTTATTAAGGATGTTCTGCACGTATACTCAAAACAAAAACTTTCGCAAACTTAATCTTCGCAATTTCAAATTTTCTAGCCAATACACAGACAGTATGCTTTTGCCGCGTTTCATAACATTCTACATAGCTTGCAATTGAAATTAGACAATGAAAAAATCGGTCAAGTACAGTGCTTCCATTGGAATGCAAAAATAACGATAATTCTACGCAGTGAAAATTTGGCGTTTGGTGTTGAATTGATATTGACTGTTGTTACAGAAAGCCCACTCCGTGGTTGGTGTGGAGTTCTAGCGTTTTGATCACACCGTTTAACATGCAACTTAATGGAAAATTCTGGTGTTAATTCAACACAAATCGATATGCCATGAAGTCCACAGCAAATTTTTTACAGTGAACACGTGCCGGTGTACTAGATCAGTTTGTGAAAAATTTTGAGAAGTCAGCAACTTCTAAAGAGTCAAAAATTTAAACGAGATTTTGAATCTTAACCAAACAACTCAAATAAACAAACATTTATGTTAACCTCTTAAAATTTAAAAAACATGAAAACCAATATATAATATAGCCAATATAAGTTATTATTCGAAATGACCAAACATTAAGCCTCCATAGCTAAGAATGAAAACTCCTTTATCTCTTAAGGATACCTTTTACACTAAAATAGTAATATGTAAATAGTATGCTACGAGGCTGAAAAGACCGCTTTTCAGGCCGTATTGCATATGTTCGTTTATATTACGAGGCTCGACTAACCGAGCAGTTTTATTGCCCAAGGGAGGTAAGTAAAAAAGAAAAGCAATAAATGGCCACTTACCTCCCCAAGAGAATAAAAGTACCAAGTAGGGCGGGCCGAGTGATATAAACTTAAAAAAATTATGCCAAGGGATACAAAACCCTAACTTTTTCGATTCCCAGAATATTCTCTAAAACGCAAGCAATCGTGATGAACCTTTACAAACATGAAAAAAAAAGTACTTTGCCACGTAAATCTTCTTGGTAAAAGTTATTTCTTTTATCACCTGCCTCTAGCACAAACGAAAATCGATTAAACATGATCGCTAGCGATCTGCTACCTTTTTATACGATTTGGATAGATGGAGTATTTTTTTTGCAATTCTATTTTGCTCTACACAAGAATTCGGGAAAGATTTCTCGAACCCCACCAAATCCAAAGATAGTGATCAAAAATTGACCTGCCACGAATATGAATGAGTGGGAATGTTCCCTACCTCTTGGAAGTCAATTTTTCAGTCAAGGCTGAGATTTGAATGAAAATAAAGATTTTTCAATTTGTTTTTTTTGTAGTTCTTTGCCTGCTCTATTATTACGATTTGTATTAGTTGCACAAAAAAGTATATTGGTCACCAGCGGAAGAACTATTGTATTTTCTCCCTGTGAAAAAATTATTTATGTTTAATCTAACTCTCAGACGACGATTTGCAGAAGAATCAAATATTAGTTGCTTACGGGACTGAAATTTGTCTTTTTCAAAATACTATATTGGCATAAAACAACGTGAAGGTGTTATCCCTGGCGTAACATACAATACCCCTCATAAAACATCATCGATAATCAATGGAATTCACATTAATCGACGAGTCACATTGGATTCCGGCCCATCGACACGCTCGTATTCCTCGTGTGATTGGTACTCGAGGTGGCTCAGTACGTATGCTATATTGTCCAGAATTGTTCAACACGTCAATCACCGTCAGATTATTCCCTAGAACAATAGTATACTGCCGGGAGTTAATTGTCGACAGCCGGGTTCACTCCGATATAAAAGCCCCAGTTTAAATTGTCTCTATGTCAACCTTCGTAATAAGTTTCCACATCTTAGCCCAAAATTATTTTAAAAATTCAATGTTCTTTCTTTTTTTCCTTTTCTATTGATAATTAACTCGCTTAACAGTTGAGAGAAAGTTTTTAAATATATATTGTTATTCTTATATGATATCAATCATTGCATTGAAAAAAACTACTCCATCAAATCTCTCGAGTAGTATTATGCCCTGTTTGTTCGAAAGCTACCTGCTATCTAACAGCCGTCAGCTTTTCACAAAAAAAACGACAGCATGCCCGATAATTAAGCCGAAGGCTCTCGAAAAATATGAGGAACACGTCTAAGACATAAATCTTCTCTTTATATCAGTCCCGTAAGCTATATCACGTTCGATGCTTTATTTTTTTTTTACTAGAAAAATAAATAGCACGAAATTGGAGCTCGATAAATGGATAAATCGAGCGATCGAAGCGAGCAATCCTCCCAATTGGCATAATTAACGTTTCAATGATCATTAAATAGTGTGTGATAGGCAGCTTGGTGTGTGAGTGGATGTATTTGAGTGAGGGCATTTGTTAAAGCTTGGTGGAGTGATGACTGTGAGCTAACGAGCGCTTCGGTCAACTTTGTACAAATAAGGTATGCACTTTTTAGTGTTCATTGTAGTCGGGTCATATGCATGAAAAACTTCAACTCTTCTATTCCTCCATTCTAATTACGTCTGGGAGTTGGGAATTGCTCTGTAAACCCTCTTTCTACCAACTCCCATGTTCCTTCTCTTTGCTTTATTTATTATTTATTTGGTTTTCATCCTTCGCCATTTTCCACCAATAATTCTACCTTTTTTCAACAGGGCATGAGTGCTGCTTGTCGAGGCTGAATAGACTGAATTAATTAATATGCATTTATTGAATACTTTGAGCTGCGCGCTCTAACATTTCTGTGGAAGTTAGCACAGATTTTCGCAAGATTTTCATTTCATTGAAGACATGGAAATTAGGAAATTAGGATTTTTTCCTTAACGGTGGGCCGTGTAGAAGGTGCAAATTCATTGAATAGAGTGTAATTCAATGTTTCATTACCCCAAAACACATCACTTAATATTTTTATAGTCGAAAAAGCACTTACAGTCACTTATTAAAATATATACCTAAAATAATAGAATAATCTCTGTCATTGAAGTATGTAGTTTCATTTTTGATAGGATATAGTCTTTGATTTTAGCAATGAAGAAAAATTATAGAAAAATTTCTCCTGGCGTTAAGTAGTTATGCAATATATTCTCTCTGGAGGAATTTGAAGGATAAAAAGCAAAAATACGATGAGTCTAGTACAAATTTAATGTAATTGGGTATTAATTGTTTAACCCTGATGTCAGTGAGTTATTGCTTCTAAATGTAATTTCTTATTAACCAATGGCTATAATTCTACATTTATCCCCCTTATAGATAATATGTACCTGATCGTCTCGCCTGAAAAATAAAACTGGGTATGAAAAAAACAGCGAAATTTTCCATTTTTTTCGGAGCGATTTTCAAGTTTTTAAGTTTGGGAAATATTGAGTACCGATTATCAGAAGAGAAATTATGGGATAGCACAATAGTGCAGGACACATGCGTTTCCAGACCGAAATTTAGAAAAAGCAAATAACTGCATGCGCTATGTACAACTTGGTTGGCACCCCGAACCAAGAAATTGCTATTGTTCAAGCATGTGCTATTGTCTGTCTGGGAAAGTTACTTGAACAAACGGATGAGAAAATCTAGAGTTTCAAAAGGATGGGCCCCACCATACACAGGCGCCCAACTTAAATCTCAGTACGCATCATGAGAATATTTCGGCTTTAAATGTTTTATGTGTCATCGATACATGTTTCAATATTGATTCGATAATCATTGAAAATGCATTCGATAATCGCTATTTACGATACGCTGAGAACAAAAAGTGTCGATGGAATGCATATGTTGTTGATTAAAAATTGCAACGAATTTGCTTTGGTTTGCAACCAACCTGATACTTGAATCAGTCTTTTCGCGAAACTGACAGTCCAGGTACTAGTCAATATTTTATTATTGATATGGATATGGAATGGTTAAATTTAATAAAAAAATCACAAATCGCTTTTTCATTACTTGAAAACAAAAGATATCATTCTCATCATCTCCTAACTTGAAGGGAAGGTGCTGAGATCAATTTTCGCTAATATGCTAATATGGTGGCACCTCTTGCCAACTTTTTCATATCATGATTTTTTTTTCCCATTTGAGGTATACCTCCAGTAAATGCACATTATTTGTGTCGGAACTCAGTAGCTATTAATGAATTTAACCTCTGAGTCATCTCACTTGTTTTGGTGGATGCTCATATAACTCATATAGCTGCACCCCTACTTCACTTTTCCTTCAAAAAGCCGTTAATTCATGATTAACTAAACAATGCTATCAAGTATTTGCAATAATTCAATGAGTGGTAAAGCACTTTTCTAAAAGTTTCATCCCTCACCAACACAGAGTATGATTCAGGGTTCGCGGCGGGGTGGCAACTCACGCGAATAATTGTGATATTGCAAAAAATATAAAAAGAAAAAAAAAACTCTTATAGGTGTTAAAAAGTCGAATATTCTGATATTTAAGACATAGAAAACGATCAAATAGAACTTCAGATTTTGAAAAAAAAAAAGAAAAAAGTGAGATTTCTAAAATGAACAGCCGAAAAAAATGAGAAAAAAGATAGATCATTTTTCAACCGTCTATTTTCAGAAAAATCACCACTTGCAAGAGAGCTGACATCACTGGTTACGTCAATTGGTGTATGGAATAGCTCAATATGCAAATGAGGATATCAATCCGTAATACGTAAAGAATACATAAATTAATCTTCATTGATAATAATAAGAAGAGTCATCCTACGATGTACTCAACTATGTAATTAAAAAAATAACTAAAAACTTATAAAGAAAATGTTTTCAATTCACTACACAATTACTAAACGATAAGATAAGTTGGACTAGAAATTTGTCTATGCAGAGGAGAATCAAAAGAGAAAAAAAACCATGAGTGAGAGCACCGGAAGCAATGGAAATAAGTAGTTAGGATCAGTGGTAAGTCCGCCTCCTAATAACGAAAAGAAAAAGGCTTTACATGAAGTTTAACGATGAACTTTACCGACAACAGCGCCCTTTGCCACGGGCAATATGCTCCAGGCGTTTCAGGTGCATTTTCCTCCTCCAGCCACTAGTCCCGCTGGAACCGCCGAGCCGATAACACCGAGTTTTCGTACGTACCTTCGAGTCCTCTCTATTCCGTTGATTCCATTAAATCAATCGAATACTCATTAATTTTAATAATTTCCGAATATTTTCGTTAATCGTCATTACCTCCTGCTCTGTTTGCCCTTTGGTTGCCATTGTGGTAGCACGTGATTACTCTGGTGGAGGATCAATTTGAGTTCTCCAATAAATGTTTACATTTTGTGAGGATGGCATATATTATGCAGGGTGAGTACTTGCAAAATCGCTTAGATACCAAAGATTCTAGAATTAATGCTTTCACCTACTACCTTCTCACATGTTACCCCTCACAGCGAGGACAGTAAAAATCCTTGGGAGAATATAATCCGCTCTATGTCGTCCCTAAAGGCACCTTTATTTCTTCTGTGGGGTCGTAAACTTTAGAATTCGCTCCTCCAATGTCTCTAGCCTTTCACCAAGTTTCCAACATCTCGGGTGTTCTCTTTCGATGAGGAGTTTGAAGGGATCGCGTGCCAGAAACAATTTTTTATTTCGACTTTCCACAATAGACCGAGTTGACACAGAATTATTATGTCTCCAACGTGTCTCCACTTTTCAACAAATATCTACTTATTAAGAATCTTTAAGAAACTTACTATTGATTACATTAAGGAGAGACTGAATCATTTATGTTAAATTGCTGGTCTGGTTTAGAAAGAGAGGAAAATTGATAGGACACCTATGTTAAGGAAGTGAAGTGGTGGATCCTTTTACACAGTAACGTAATTTTCGAAGATGGCTATCACTTGCATTAGCACTTGATCACGTGCACCTGCTTCTCCCCTATTAATTTTTCTCTGTGGCTCCTGCCAATCATACAAATTAAGGGAGGAGAGTCTTTATCGCGAAAATATCAACTCAGAAATGGTAAATTTTTGACACTTCACTCATCATCGCAACTAAACATTAGTTTTTCCACATAATTGAAGATTACATCCTTTTGAGTTGTTTTTTTTATGAAAATTTTGTTTAGTTACATGAAATGGTCATTTAATTTAGCAGTAAAAAATGGCAATGCAGTCAGGCCTCATGATTCAGGAGATAGATATTCTGAAATTGCTATTTAAAAAATATTCCAAGGCTGTAAAGTTGAAATCCATTACACCCCTAATGAAGGGAAAATTTATCGATACTGGTGTAGAGACTCAAAAGTGTAGAATATGGATACTTATCACATAAAAAGATTTTCCCTTTTTTCTTTAGTGAAAATTCAAATACGATTGCTGGAGCGACTGATTACGATGTTTCTGCCTTCGGGATGGACACAATATTAACAATCTGCAATACTAAATTCAATTTGTTTAACAGTTGAAATATCGGATGCGAGGTTGAACAATTTGTAGATTTATTTTTTCATTGTATCGCGTAAAATTCACAAGAAACTCAAGAAGATGGGAAAAATATATAATTATTGCATAAAATGAAAATTTGCGATGGATCCGATATAAGGGAAAAATTCTCTGAAGGTAGACTAGTATATAGATGATAAAGTCCAGCCGAAAAAAAGTGATACCTGATAAAAAGATTATTGGCACTGAGGGGTTGAGGTGAATGGGTCGAGAGTGCAGTAGCAACCGATGGAAGAGCTTTCGTGTTGACGCATCGTCGATGCTTTTGTACCCCTGAACACAGGCGATCCTTTCAGACTCGAGCAGTGTGACAGGGGGTGGTTGTAGTAGAAGTGCCAGTAGCATAACTCGCGGCAACATCGTGCCAGGAAATTGCGACGGGTTGGAACGACGAATGGTAGACATCACCAGAGATAAGCCGATTAAAGTTGCTGTCAGGGTCCAAGTGCCTGTTCGAGATCACCCTAAGGTCAGTATCAGTATATTAAACTTTTCTATTCCATAAATTTTTATGTATTCTAATTTTCATTTTTATAAACAGCCTGGGGAGGCAAATCAATTGAACAAATTCAGCTCTTTCCTTTTCCAATTGCATGTGCATCAAAAAGTTTTCACTATTGTTTTATTGAATGAGTATTCTGTTTGTGTAGTTCAATTTCGTTGGGAAGCTGTTGGGTCCAAAGGGAAATTCATTGAAACGTCTTCAAGAAGAGAGTGGCTGCAAAATGGCAGTGCTTGGACGTGGATCTATGAAAGATCGGCAAAAGGTAAACAATCGAAATTTCACAAAAACTTTTCAATGAAAAATTTTAAAGAATTAAATTATAAAGAAGAAACATAAAGAAGTAACCCCCCACCTCGTTCAGACAGCAGACAACCTACAAAAAAGACTCACGTTTACTCATCTTCACCTCACTAATTTCCCATTCTCCCGTTATCTTTGCCTGTATCATCCTTTTGCTATAGAGAAAAAATTGTCCAAAATATCGGCGAATGAAAGTAAAAAACAAAAAAACCTAAAGAGAAGACCTAAAAATTTCAGAGATGAAAAATTACTTGGCGCTTGTCTTTTCGAAAAAAAATGTACTGGCATGCTGTAATGATCGTCACTTAAAATATTTACCTTCACAGAAAATATCATACAGCATTTTCTTTGCGATAATAAATGCACCGGTACGAAAGAGTCGGGTTGAAGTGGGTGTTATGTTGATAGGGCGAGGATGGGCTGGCGGGTTGGAGGGGGAGATTTGTACAAGGATGCGACTTTAATGACTTCCTTAATTAAAAGCCGTACATCTCGTGGGTTGTGAGGAAACCTCCACTCAACTCACCGATGGGCTTAAAATTGTCGAAGGCTTTTCCTCCTCATCCATACAACGTATAACCGTGTCTTTTGGAAGTGAATTCCGGATGAGAAGTCTACGCCTCTATACATAACGATGGGGTTTCCTCGTCATTGCCGTTTGATGGTTATCCCAAACCGCTGGAAAACCTCACCCAGCCACCCAGTAATCAAGATAAACTACTCCAGTAACACATGTGCACATCAGGGTATTACATGTTTCAGTCTCCTGAAACTTGGACGCAACTCGCTTATAAACTCCTACTTACTTTTAATATTTAACTATTCAATTAAGTTGCCCTCTATCAGTCTGATTGATTAATTCAAGTTAATTATCATTCCAAAAAGTGGAGTTACTTATGTACTGTAGCTCATTTCAGGATTGTCTATAAACTAGAGATATCGCAGATGTAAAAATGAGATTTAATGGATTTCATTAAGAAGATCAATGTTTTTCCGAGGCATTCTAGTACAATTCTGTAGGTAAATTTCATTGTATTTTTGTTGATTTTTATTATGAAAGTAGTATGAAAGTAAAGAGCATGACGAATTTCTCAATAGAACAAAAATATATGTGTGTGACGTTGTGAGTGCTGGTTATTCCACCTCCGTTGCCTGGCTGCTGAACAGCCCCAAGCAACACTTGGAATAGGAGCTCGAGTCACCATGTCCACCCTCGCTGTGGCTAACTGCTGTGGGTTGAGTGCACCGGGAGTTTGCTCATTCAGGATTTATGGTGATGGGTGGTCTGGAGTAAATTCACTGACACCAAAGTTAGAAGAGTGGATTAACGTTACACTAACAGGTGCACTGGATTCGGTTTGGCGGACTCAGGTGCTAAAGTGCCTTGTTACTGACCGCAAGACCGAGTGTCCTGGTTCAGGTCTAACCGTGATCTGACTTCCAGAGGGGCCTCAGAGAAGCTGCAGCCCCCAAAATGCTTACCTAAGCACTCCCATCGTTTAGAACACGAGGTGTTCTAAAAGTTACTCAAGGGAACTGCACTCAGGTATCGCCGTGGCACTGCTGATGCAAGTCAGATCCCAAAAAGTAACTAAGTCGCTGAATATCGGCCTATTCGCTTGCCAGATACTCTACCCTTTCTTTAAACAAAAAAATCCACGTCATATATAAAAATATATGATTTTTAATACTTTTTGAAATAGGAAAGTATTAAACTTTCCTATGAATTTCTTCCCACAGTGGAGAATAGAATAGAATAGAATAGAGCAGAATGGAATTTCTGAAGAATTTTCATTGAAGAATTTATTTTTATTAAAGACTTAATATCTATACTTTACGAGGCAGAATAAAATCTCCTTTAATCTCTCCATGAAAAAGCCCCGCCGTCGGAAAAAAAAAGTTTTTGATAGGCAGAGGAAAATTGACTCATAATTATGAGCATTATTGGAAGAATTGATATTCCTCTTTAGTTAGTGTAAGAGAAAATTGTACATCTCTTTTTTTTTCGTTCAACTTTTTTCCCTTGAAATTGGCTGACAGACAATTATTTACCAGGAGGAAGAGTTACGTACCAGTGGTGATCCAAAGTTCTCTCATCTTACGGAGGATCTTCACGTAGAAATAAGTGCCTATGCCACACCAGCTGAGGCGCACGCCCGCATTGCCTATGCCCTCGTCGAAGTCCGTCGCTTCCTCGTCCCCGTATGATCACCAATACATTAATAACCACCTTTAATAAATAATGATATTACGTCATTAAATTACAATGTGACATTTATGTGAATTGATGACTCCCTATGTGTAGGATTACAATGATGACATACGACAAGAACAGATGTGGGAGATGCAGATGATGAACTGCACGGAAAATAGCCAGGATGACTTATCAAGCCTAGATACTAATTCAGAACCAACTAGTTCACCAATTTCTAGTACCACTGGACATCCTAATGAAGGTCAGGATTTCGGCAAAACTTCAGGGACTTCATCCCATTGCAAAACTTCAGGTAAAACAGAATTTATTCAGCGAACCCATTTGGATAAACAAGTTTTATTGTTGAATATATATAAGAATTCGAAGCCATAATAGGAGGCGGGTTTCCCGTCAATACCGGACAAATAGAGTAGTCACAGTAGAAATTAATTTCCAGAATAATATGAGCACTTTTCCCTCCTTTCTCCGTGTGCATTTTCACGATAGCTCGCCTCGGAAATTATGCTATTATGTGCTTTTCAAACTTGAAAATTTGAAAATTATTCCAAGCATAGGTATGCTTCAAGCCACTGTCACTGCTTCTTTTTGCTTGTATCACACGCGTAAAAAAAAACCCACGGCAAGTTTTTGAATTTAGAAAGTTTATATTACTGTTTGCCAGATGAAAAATTTTGAGAAGCAATACGGAAAAATATAATCGGCGATAATTTATTTTTTACCGGTGTGCCTAATGATCAGTCCTTACCATTGACACAGACACCGATTCCACACGATTCCACCTCTCCACATCGCCCAAATACACGATTCTCTATTCTACTTCACAATCTGAGGCTTACACACTGATTTTCAATATGAATGCTAAATAAAATCGTACTATTCAAAAATTCTAATAGCTATATATCCTTAAAGCCGATTCATCGATTTGTATAGAAGTATACTTGTAGTTTTTTCAATAGTTTTAGAGATATTGACCTTAATATTCTTATACACAAAATGGAATATCTCAACAACTAGTGAAGCTACTAGTGATGTTAAGCAAAACAATACCTATTATTGGTGAAAATTTCATATTTATATTAATTAATTTCACCGCATGAATGTTACAGAGACAATTTTTCAAAACTTTACGCTTCTACATTATTGCCTGCTTGAAAATTAGAGAATGTGAAAATTTGGCAAATATAATGCTTCTATTCGGAAAGAAAAAGGAGTAAAGTTTAAGGTGATAATCTGAAATTTGATGGATAGTGGGTGTTATTTGGAAGGGCATCTGGGAAAAATTTCAAATCGATCGGTCAAACAATCTTCGATATATACCAATTTCCCAAGTAATGTTTTTTTTTAAACATCTTAAAAACTATTTGACCGAACGAACATTTTTTTTGTTTGAAAAATCATTGTAGGCAAAATGAAAGCTGAAAAAAATGCTACAGAAAGTTGAAATTTGGTATGATTTGTAGTTTGAGAAGTATATTTCCTCAACGGCTCATTGGATTTCAATTTCAATTTCAATTTGAAAATAGTCGAATTGATGCCCGCTATTGGGATGAATCAAAATATGCATGCCATCCACGCAAAAGTTGCTACAAAAATATAAAATTATATATAATAATTTATATACTTATTATTATTATTGTATAAACTTGTGTTTGAAATGTGTATGAATATATCGCCATAAAAATCGCCGTAAAACTCGAGCATCGTTCGTTGCCAAAAATGCCACCAGAAGTTCTATCAACGATTACCATATTAATAAGGAAAAGGAATATTTTATCTTTTAAATATAGTTGAAGTTCGGCGAAAAAGCTACGTAACCGTTGGGGTAATCTGATTGAATACGGCTAGGATATACTAATAATTCTATTTTTTGGGATAATTCAAAGTCTCAAAGGAGACAATTCACTGACAATATTTTTATCCGATTCTTGTAAAGAATGCCAACTCGGACGTATTAATTAGACCTGTCGTCGGCGATAAATTAAAAAAAAACCTTAATTCCAGTTTTTTTTTATATCTGTCATTTAGGTCGAAAGCGGCCTTTAGTCTCTGGAAATCGACCTGCCATGTCCCCAACGAAAAGAACGGTCATGTCACTTTTGGCAAGGGCGAGAGCTGCCCAGAATAAAGAGCATCTACAACCAGCGCAAATTGTTGCTCACACACAAACACCAACTGTCCATCAAGCGACTTTAGCAATGATCCCACAAGCTCCAAATCAGTCCACAACTCATGCTATAGCACAGGTACCCAGAATTCAATTAATCGGTCAGACAGTAGCAACCCAACATCAAACGTTAAGAAGACAGACAATTATTCCATCTCATTCGCAACATCAGATTCTGTCACCTGCAATTGGGCTCATTCATGCGCAGTGAGTGGAGATATATTCAATCACTTTAAGAGATTAACTCTACCTCCCGTGTTTAATTAATTGCTGAAAATTTGCCCGAGTTGATGGGATTCTTTGAGATACAATGAAATGAGAATAGCCTCGGAAAATTTTACTCGGCGAAATTCACCTGTAATTAAACACGCTGAAATGAATATCATTATTGATTCTCCCCTGTTTTACCAGAAATTTACTTCGATTGTTCTTCCTAATGAAAAAAAAAATAAGGTTGAAAGGGGGATCAAAAAATAGGCGAAAAATCCTCTTGAAATAAGTAATCATACGAAATAAGTTATCAGATTTTCCTTGAGGCGAAGACCTAGTTTGTGAAGGATATGCCATTACGAATGCCGAGTAGACGATTAGCATTCCCTTTCAACTGGCTACTTGTTCTTGCAGAAGGACCACCGGTGGTTCAACTGTGCTTCCACTTCTACGAGAGGATCTTGTTGCTGGAGTGAATCTCGTTTAATGCTCGGATCTCCAATCGAAGAGTGGACTTGATTTGTTCATCCCTTTAATTCTCATAAAATTTTAAGAAAGGTGGGCAATTTATGAAAGGTAGATTGTAAGAATATTTTTTCTCTCCGTTTTTGTATTTAATAATCAGGGTTGACTCTATTTTCTTGTATTCTCATTTATCTTTACAACCCTCGGACCAACTTCTCTATTCATTGGCTGCGTTAGACGGACAATTGTGCTGATATAGCAATTAGATAGACAAATTGAAGTGCGATGTATATTCGAATTATTCGAATTAAATTTAATAAATATGAATTATACTGATAATTGAATATGCTTAAATAATTCATTGTAAATGGAGACTTGTTTTATCTGTGCAATGAAATAAATACCATGAATTTATGCGGAAAAAAATTTATTTTATTATCTGTAAAATGAATGCAGACTTGTATACATCGAGAAGTACTGCAACTAGGATAATCATCAGGGATATAGAATGTCATAGTGACCTGGACGATATAGTAAATGTACAGCTGGCGTTGAACCCTCTGGAAAGTCGTGGGCCGTCACTTCTGTTCCAGCTCCACGATCCATGTAGCGTACACGTACACCCGTACCGAGGGCTGTACTCATTGCGATGATATGGATGTGATCCGACTCCTTGTACATTGGCTCCACTTCCTGTATGAGATTTGTCAATTCTTTAATGCAGAGACTATTATCAACTCAATGGAAAAATCAATTAAATCAGCGATTCAATATGAAATCTTTATATTTATGCCAGAAATCAATGACGTCCCGCAAACTGTATTTAGATAATCATGGATATTTGGAAAATAAATTTGGTCTAGTAAAAATATTGGATGATAAACAACTTTTCTACCATCAACGGAATCGCGCTAAAATTATTGCCAAATTACAAGTGACAAGATAAGACGCATTAATTAAACTCATACTTTTCAAGGAATATCTAAGGTTCTGAAGGAAATAGCAATACTTAAACGTAAATGCGCAAAATGGACGTAACGAGGAGTACATGTGTTAGACATATTAAAGAAAACGTTTAGAGTAGTTTTACTTATTCAATATATAATAGATATTCAATTGAATGCGCTTCACAAGTTTTGGCCTTTCATCATTAAAATGTGAATTTTGACAATTGAGAGAAATATTTAATACCTGATGACAGAATTCAACGACAGTCCTGCCCCCCTCAATGAAATTCTGGTAAAAATCTGCTTCCTTTTGTAATTGACCAGAGGTTATTAATCTAAGATAAACAACAATATAATCTGAGTAACCCTGCTCATTGAAGAATTTATGTAATTCAGTGCTGCTGGCCTCGGTGCCATCCCCGACCTTTTCAATGACTTCCATAAACTGAAATGCGTACAAGTCGTTTCTTTGATTAGTAACACAAAGGATAAAGACACCAACAAAAGCCATCCAAACAAGAGTTATTCCACGAAAAAGCGTAATTACCGTATCATGAAAGTCCTCCACCGTAAACTGTGGAAATCCCAGTGCAACTAAATTGTCCTTGCTTTTTGATGCAAGCTCACGAAACTTGTTATACTCATCTTTATTCTGTATCAGTCTCTCGAGATAAGCATAACTGAATGCACGAAAAAAACAATTACCATCGGGCCTAGTTCTTCTAATGTAGGAATACTTTTGGCCAAGTGCCCTGGCCTTTGACAGATAAATCTCATCCTCCTCGTACTCCCTCTCCAGGCTCTTCAGTGATTCCTTTTCGCCCACCAGAGGTATCGATTCAGATATCTGAAACCCCCATTACAATTTAATTCATTACTTTGTTTTTTTTCTCCATTGAATTCGGCAAGCTAATGGAATTTTAAAGAGAATTTAAAAATAAAGGGGATTAACCTCTTTCTCGATGCTCCTTTGTTGTTGAAGGATGAGTTCATCTTGATTGACTTGAAAAAAAGACATGTGCTTTTGAGATTGGCTGTCGATAGAGGCAAAAAAAATAAAGAGATGATGATTACCTAAATTTTCTCCAGGGTTGTTCAACGATGTGTCACCCATTATTCACCGAATCTTCATACACTTTAGGTTGAACGGGTTAAGCGTTGCACTAAAAACAAAAGTCAGTCTGGTGGAACGACTGCAACCGGTCGACTCATACTTCATAGGGCCACACTTTCCACACTCCACAGACTACAGTGACCCCTACGTTTATATATAGGCTGGGCTGGCCTTATAGCGGCAGTTGACGGCAATAAGCGGTCGTCGGACATCACCATGGCAATACGCCTTAACTAACCCCATATTCAAAACTTGCTAAACCTCTCGTCTTATAATAGTATATTTCGCCACTAGGCCATTTGACATTTTTCTGGCGATTTTGAATTTACAGTTCGAGGTAAACCCGATTTTTGGCGTGCGAGACATTCATAGCACGAGCCAAAAGCAATTCCTATAATCTCAAATGCCAAAAAACACTTTCTGCACGAGTTACGAACAAAATGGTTCTTCGTCTTGTACGGGGAGGTCACTTTTAACGCACGCAAAGTGACCGGAGCTTTATTCAGCCAAATTATGTTGTGGCTGCAATCTGATTGGGTTAAAATGAGAATTAAGAACAAAAATTCCTCAATTCTATGAAAAAATTTCTTCTCGTATGAAACCAAATTAATAATATTTTGGAATCTTATTTCAAATTTGATTAGTTAATGGAATCCTTGAATGGAATAGTGAAGATCATAAATAAGGAGGAACTATTTGAAATTTCAGTGAGAAAGCAATAGCACTCCACGGATAATTTGCCCAAACAAAGAATTCAGACTTTTTACAGGGGAGTAAAGAGCAAGGAAGGCAGAAACCAAAAATTGAAAATTCCCCGTTATATGAAATTTCATGATTATTGTGTCGGCTTTTAAAGAGGATTCCCTTATACCCTTATTATAATTAGAATTGAGAATAAAGGCATGAACATTGCGGCTGGTTGCTGCCGCGCGGCGCTAGTAACATATATAACCTTATATTTTTCTTTTCGATCCACGCTGCAGATGTTATGCACGTGGTGATAGTCAGTTTCTCTGTGAAGTGTTCAATATCATGAAAATACATTTATAAACAAGTGTCTGTCGTGCAGGGAATAAAAATGTCACTATATAACTTCAAAAAGATCGCTGTGGTCCCCACATCCAAGGTAAAACCTCATTAACACATTAACAGTTACAAGTAATTATTAGGTTATGATATGAATGATGGCAATATATAAAATAATATTCACCATTATTTTCTTTTTCTCGATGCCAGGATTTCATCGATATCATATTATCGAAAACGCAGAGGAAGACCCCCACAGTGATCCATAAGAACTATAAAATCTCGAGGATTCGTGCATTTTATACGAGAAAAGTGAAATTTTCTCAACAAAGTTTCCATGATCGTCTGTCCCAAATAATTCAGGAATTTCCTAAGCTCGACGATGTCCATCCATTTTACGCTGATCTTATGAATGTTCTGTACGATAAAGACCACTATAAATTAGCTCTGGGGCAAATCAACCATGCTAGACATCTGATTGACAATGTTGCAAAGGATTATGTTCGATTACTCAAATACGGCGACTCTTTGTACCGCTGCAAACAGTTGAAAAAGGCAGCTCTCGGTCGCATGGCCACGATAATGAAACGACAAGCTGCCAATCTGGCGTACCTGGAACAAGTTCGTCAACACTTGGCGCGTTTACCCAGTATCGATCCCTATACCAGAACAATAATCATTTGTGGATTTCCTAATGTTGGAAAGAGTAGTTTCATCAATAAAATCACGAGGGCTGATGTGGAAGTCCAGCCCTACGCCTTCACCACAAAATCTCTGTACGTAGGGCACACAGATTACAAATACCTCCGTTGGCAAGTCATTGACACTCCTGGAATTCTAGATCACGCCTTAGAAGATCGAAATGTCATTGAGATGCAAGCAGTAACAGCCCTTGCCCACTTAAGAGCAGCAGTTCTGTACGTCTGTGATGTGTCAGAGCAGTGTGGACACAACATCGAGGCCCAAGTCCAACTCTTCGAGTCCATAAAACCATTATTCACCAATAAGCCGCTCATTGTCGTTGCCAACAAAACTGATGTTCTTCGCCTGGACGAGTTGCCTCCAGAAAAACTGACTGCTCTGAAGAGCCTCGAAGATGGAGGAAAAACTCCACTAATCGAGATGAGCACTGTTACGGACTTTGGAGTGATGGAAGTTAAGCGCGAGGCGTGTGAACGTTTGCTCTCCTTCAGGGTAGACCAAAAGATTAAGACCAAGAAAGTCGATGGATTACTTAATCGCCTGCATGTTGCTGTACCTGCACCCAGGGATCATAAAGAACGACCTCCGTGCATACCTCAGACTGTGCTCCTCAAGAAAAAGGCTGACGCAGAGAAGCTCGAGAGGAAAAGGAAATTGGAGAGGGAAATTGAGGAAGAAATGGGAGATGATTATGTCTTGGATCTGAAAAAGAATTATGACATTGAGGGAGATCAGAAATTTGATATTATTCCTGAAATGTGGGAGGGACATAATATTGCTGATTACATTGATTTGGATATATTTGAGGTGAGCATCATAAAAAATTACCTAATTGAGAGAGGATCGATGGATTGTCTGTTCGACCACCGGAATAAAAATTCTATCATTCTATTACTTCAGCAATATTTATTTTAAAAGACCTCTGCGGTTTTCCAATTTTGACGATTTTTTTTACAACGACTTTCACGAAATCATTACAAAATACAAATGCAAATTCATTAAAATAATAGTGAATGTATCAATCAATATTTTTATTATTTTTAATGTTTTCAGAAACTCAATGAACTTGAGAAAGAGGAGGAAATGCGAAACGAAGCTGGATACTACGACTATAAGGTTCCCTTATTATCAGATACAATGAAGCAAATTCAAGAATTAGCTAAACAAATTCGCGAAAAGAGAGCAATTGATGCTGACGAGGCTAGAGTTAATAAGGCATCTACTAAGCCTGTTATGCCACGTACTGCTGCTGCCAAGACACGAAGTAGATCTGTCACGAGATTGAGGGAGCAGATGGAGGAGCTGGGAGTTGACATGGATAACACTGAGAATGTTAATAATATTTCTGTTTTGCTATAAGACAAACACATTGTTGTAGTGACAATTTTTTATTCTTCTATTTTTTCTTATCTGCTACAGGCACATTTCACAAAAACCAGAGGTCGCTCAAGATCTGCCTCAGGACCGGCTAGGAAACGCCAAAGGATTGAATCACTCTCCACAACAAGGGCAAGAAGTAGTTCAAGGCCAGCTAGAGATGATATGGGCGTTAAGGATGTTGTCGTAAGTTCAACTACCTTTTTCATGAAAAATATAAATTTTTCGCAATCCTCTAAAAATCAACCCCTAAACTAATCATAATTGCACTCTCTAATGATTAATAACGTGTTATTGTTGTCCCAGATGAAGACAAAGCTGAAGAATATTGCTCACAAGGCAATCAAAAAGAAGGTGGCGAAGAAGGGTCTCAAGGGTGAGGCTGATCGTTTCATCGGTACTAAAATGCCTCGACACTTGTTCGCGGGAAAAAGAGGTGTTGGAAAAAGCGACAGGCGATAATTCAAATCACTCAACGTTTTCGTAAAAAATTCCGCAAATGTTGTTTTAAAGGCCTGTTTCGCAGTGAATTGCTACTCATTTTCTATCTCTTTAAAAGCCACTGACTTAAATGACGTCAACATATGATAAGGCACTCTATCTGCCTAACTGGCCATTGGCTGCATCCTACACCCTCATCAGCTTGAAGAAACAACATTTGTAAAGATAAAACTAAAAAGTTCTATCATCACTTAACATGTCGACAATGTAAAAACGAAAATTTAATAAAAATTGGGGATTCCCTATGAGGTTTATAACAAAAACTCTCGAATAATATTTGATGTGCCCTGAAAGTGAGTAGTCAAGGAGGAAATCAGAGGGAAATAGAGCATTGGGGGGAGAGTATTTAAAGGGTCCAGAGAGGGTGGAGAGGGTGGTCATTGCCTAATAAGGTGTTTCAGTGAGGTTTCCGGTCTTCTATCGATGCTAACGCCCCATAGTGGCATCCACATGTAACGTTACAGTACACGCCTCGCCTCGCTCGTCTCGCTCGTCTCGCTCGTCTCGCTCACACTTGTATACGCTCCTCACCAATATTGGGAAGAAAAGAGGGAAAAACGAATCGACAAGGGCCCCCACGAGCTTTGTAAGTCTCGGTGAAGAAGTGTGGCTCCGGTGAGTGCGTGTGCAAGTTTAAAATTAAAATAAATTCGGACTGTAGTGTATGTTGCGACTTCTTAGTTGCCAAAAATACGAGATGTACGAAACACGCAAAATTTCTATTGAAATTCAAATTCACTGATTTTTCATCTCACTCATTACGCTTTTTACTTTTCAATTTTGTACTGTTGGGCACAAATTTTGAAATTTATGAGCAATCTTTCTTTTCAACTATTCTTTTACTCATGCGACAATCCCCACGTTTTTATAATTCTGTGAGTCACCGATTCTCAAGAGATTGAAATAAAAACAGTGATATTTAAATATTAAAATTGTTACGATCGGATTTTAAATACTTGGTGAGTACCTAATTTTGCTGAAAAAATTTGAATTCTCATTTGAGATGAAAAAGGTGACGAAGGAATTCTATAGAATATAGAATAGGAAAATGAATGTATTTATAAATTTTTCTGGGGTTCCGTAGAAGCGAGTTGTCTTTTTTGGAAATTCGTAGAGAAGGAAAAATTGAATAAATGGCGCCCAATAGCATCGGCAACACCGTACAAATTCGGCATTCTCAATTATACTTCACTGCATTTGCATTTTCACGATTTTAATTTTAATTAATAGGATATATAAGGATTAGATGAAAAAACATTGTAGACCGTGGTATGATTAATTGAGGGCAAAATAGTCTAGTGTAGATGTACATATTTGTATATTTCCATAGTTTGAGAGGGAAGTGCGAGTTTGGGTAATGATTGGGAAAAATATTGGTGGATTGAGTGAGTGTTGAGGTTTAAGTTGGGTGGTAGATTCGTGTATATATCGTGCTTGTCCAACGCTCTCAACTTTTTGTCGCGGTAAGGGGTGGGGTAAAAGCGTGGTCTATTTATAAATTATAAAATAAAATCGGGGGGATGATCCACGCGACGCCCACGCCTTCCACTCGCCACGTAACATTTATTTATTGAGAAAAAAAAGGAATTTTGGCTTTGGGGATGATTCCTTTGTAGTTGAACCAGGGGAACCTGCTGTTATTCGGTTTTCGTCCCTCCAAAAGTGTGTAGTGATATTTTAATTCGACATTGTAGGTTAAGTTGATTTATTTTCATTGGAAAACACTCAAATTGTTGGGTTATTTTGTATTATACTGGCACTTGTCAAAGTGAATTGCTTGAGTTTTATGCAGAGAAACATCAGTGAGGGGATTATTTGTAATTGTTTACAGGAGCAATTATGTCGTTTCGTGTTGTGCGCAGCAGCAAATTCCGCCACGTGTACGGTACAGCATTGAAACGTGAACAATGTTACGACAACATTCGTGTTTCCAAGTCGTCCTGGGACTCCACCTTTTGCGCTGTCAATCCAAAGTTCCTGGCTATTATCGTTGAGTCAGCTGGCGGTGGTGCTTTTATCGTTTTACCACACAATAAGGTATTGAATTTGTCATTTTCCATTAAACGTTGAGGCGTTGTAATTTATTAATTATTCATATATCATCAAGATATCATAGACAAAGATTTATTGTGATGAGTGTTAAAGGCGCACGAATGTCTTGGCATTTCCATTTGGTTGTAAGAGAAAATACGTGCATGATAATTTTCATTGCATAATTGCACATTGCTCGAAAAATTTCTCATGCTAACGAGCATAATTAAAAATATTTATACCTTCTTTTTAAGATATTTCAACTCCTCTCGCGACCGTGAGAGATATTTTTGACAGTTGGTGAGAATCCCACGAAGCAAGGAAATTTTTCTTTTATTTCTATTGTTTTAATATTTTAATTATAATTTTTTTAAAACTTTACTAAAGAATCTGCAAATACTGAATTGAAATGGTGATCTAATAATGGATCTGATTTGTTCTTCCAAGGAGATTTACTTGATTCCCCTCTTGTTATCATTCAAAGTCAATAATTTTCTCAAAATGTTAAATCCCTAAGATAACTTAATATATTCATCAAATATTTAATTAAAGGGTAATTAAATTCTAAGATGTTGTAATTAATAATTGATAAAACCGGTTGAAATTCAATCCACTAAACAGGTGGGCCGGATATCAGCTGATCATCCCCTGGTTGGTGGTCATAAGGGTCCAGTGCTGGACATAGCATGGTGTCCACACAACGACAACGTCATAGCCTCTGGCTCCGAGGATTGTGTTGTCAAAGTATGGCAAATACCCGACAGTGGAATATCCCGTACACTGACAGAACCAGTGGTAGATCTGCAACTGCATCAGCGACGAGTCGGTCTTGTCTTGTGGCATCCTACTGCCCTCAATATCTTATTGACCGCTGGCTCGGACAACCTGGTTATAGTCTGGAACGTGGGGACCGGTGAGCCCCTGGTCAAAATGAGCTGTCATCCTGACGTTGTTTACTCGGCGTGTTGGAATTGGGACGGCTCCAGGCTCGTTACCACGTGTAAGGACAAGAAAATCAGGATACTCGATCCGAGGTCTGGGGAAGTTCTGCAGGAGGATGTTGCTCATGAGGGGAGCAAGGCTACAAGGGCTATTTATCTCAGGTAAAGTGAAATAGCTCCGAGTTAACGTCATTACCGAATATCCATTGATCTGAAAAATTATTTACTCTAGGAGGATATATTATACACCTTATTGGTGAAAAATTTCATCGCAAAGTTTTCTTTGATGCTTCAATTTTAGCACAATCATTGCGAAAAATCTGGAATTCTTTAAGTGGCAACGACTTGATGTATTAATGATCACCTGAACTTAATCAGTGATTCGAAATTTTTTTTTAATTTATGTATTTTAGCAAGCTTCTTTCCCGCTTTTGAATTCGAGCCCAGAAAACTCTATTTTTTCAATTGTTGTGAATAGTCAAATAGGACTAACTCCACTTGATTTGTGTAACTCAATTTTATCAGTGAAATCCATCTTTTCAAAGCTTTTCAATAACTATTTTGAATGTTGTTATAGTTTTAGCTCGCATCACAATTTTCATACAACGATTCTATCAAAGATATCGCAGTAGTTTTGCAATTTGATATGAGGAATACTGCGCATTGTATGACATTCCATTATCAAATTTGTCAATTTCATTGTGTGAGAAACATAAAAAAAAATTACGAATATCCAGTGTTATGTAAATTGCATTAGTACTTTTTGTATTGTACTTTTGTCTTATAATTTACACTTTCGAAAGTCTATTGATTTGTCGACTGACAAATTCACAAGGATTTTGGAAAAATAAGTTGCTGGGAAGGAAATGGCATTATTATAAATAATTGCTGAGAAACGTCATAGTTTTCAAAGATAATTTTTAATTTTTCTAACATTTTTCAATAATAATTGAAAATCAAGAATACAATTCACAACGTTAAAAGTTCAAATAGTAGTATCAGTATTATTTCCTCCTCCTGTCCTGGAAAGCTAGGGGCAGAAAAAAAAGCTTAAATATAAGGGCTAATAGTTCCTCAGAAATGCTGGAATTAAGAAAGAATACTATCTTCACGAATAAATCAAGCCGACTTACATACGACTCAAAAGGATTGATATGGAGCAGTTTTTATTTGTTATGAATATTTAAGAATGTTAACAATAGCCAACGAATGTTAATTTATTATCTTCACTGATATTGTACATTAAACCGACTTTGTCTGATGCCAATTAAGTACTTCCTGACATTTGTTGCATGGAAAAAAAATGTTCATCTCCCTTATTACGCTTTTTACTTTTCAATTTTGTGCTGTTGGGCACAAAATTTGAAATTTATGAGCATGGAAAAAATTGTAAATTGAAAATTTATTTCTCTAACCTGTGAATACATCACATTTATAAATTTGTTATTCTTCACTAGATTGAGAAATTGAGGAATCATTTTCTGCCAAATGCAATAAGATTCGAGTACAAATCAATGCAAAAGATGCAAAAACGAAAGTCGAATAATTTATATTCTCTTCTTGCATTCCAGGGGTGGATTAATATTCACGACTGGCTTCAGCAAAATGTCGGAACGTCAATACTCCTTGCGTGCACCCGACATGCTTGGTGAGCCAATTGTTATGGTTGAATTGGACACTAGCAATGGTGTTATGTTTCCACTTTACGATCCTGACACGAGTCTCGTTTATCTATGCGGTAAAGGTGACTCTGTGATACGTTACTTCGAGATAACACCGGAACCACCGTTTGTTCATTATATTAATACATTTCAAACGCCGGACCCCCAAAGAGGAATAGGAATGATGCCAAAACGTGGCTGTGACGTTAATAGTTGTGAAATCAGTAGATTTTACCGCTTAAACAATTCTGGTTTTTGCCAGGTCATTTCGATGACTGTACCTAGAAAGGTAACTCATCACACATTAATAATGAATGTTTTATTTTTCGTTTCCTGTAAAAGCCACCACATTATTCCACTTTTTACCACTATCTATTGTAGTTTAATGAATAATGCACGTGCTTACACAAACACATATGAGGGCATTTACCGAAATCTTTTTGTTTAGCTACATTTTTATTTTGGTATTTCATTAAAACAATTCCTGAGATTTATCGTTTTTTTCGACAGTATTGGTAAAATTTCTTTTATAGAATATTGTATCTCTATACATGCAACGATCGTACCACAGGATTCAATTTTCATTAATCATTAACATATATCGTCGATAAATTTATTCAGTCTTTGATAAGTTCAAAATTGTCGAATAATAAAATGCTACTTTGAACTATTTACAATACATTAAGTTCGAGAAGAGATACAGACAAATAAGTTCCAAGCCATCTAGTTATTTCATGATTCAAGCGCAAAGAAATATACCTTTTTCACAGGTATCATAAAATTCTGTACGACACATGCGAAAAACGTTGAGGTCTGTAATCATATCAGGAAGAAAATTATATTTTTTTTATTATTGAGCCACTAAGCAAGGTTTTACAGTCGTACAGTGGTCTTAAATAGAGAAATGAAAAGAGCAGGTACTACTAGAGAATTGATTACTTCAAATCCATGTACTGGCCGACAACCAAGGAAAACACATTTTATCATTATAAAATTAATTTTTGATTTAAAATTGCAGTCCGAACTCTTCCAAGAGGATCTCTATCCCGATACCCCCGGCCATACAGCTGCAATATCCGCTGAAGAGTGGATAAGTGGTACTGACGCCGAACCTCTCCTCATTTCTCTGAGAGATGGTTATCAACCTGCTACCTCCAAAAATGAACTAAAAGTTACGAAAAAGGCCAATGTACTTGGCAAAGGTGCCAAAGTAGGTGCGAATGCACAAAATGCATCGCTAAATTCAGGAATATCCGTAAGTGATTAATCACTCCTTCCATTGCATTAATGCATCGTATAATTCGTCAAGTCTAAACGTTGAATTTTTTTTTATTAAACGATAGGATGATATTATCAAAGAGTTTGCCGAGGAAATACGTAAATTGAAGGCAGTGATAGTTAAACACGAAGGGAGAATTCGTGTGCTTGAGTCAGCCGTGGCGCTACAAATGAAAGAAGAAGAGAGAAATGAGAAATCGGCGACAACTGACGACAAAGAGTATCTTGCATCCGATGAAGTCTAATTGAACAAAAAAAAGAGATATTGCACCCTATGACAGAAACAACAAATATATACAAATGGTATTTTTGTAATTGAACAACATAAACAGAATTTGTTTTATAGAAGTGAGAAACAAGAAAGAAGACACTAAACAAAATGTTGAAAGATCGTATTATATTTTGATATTGAGAAATGACAGAGAAAGAAAAAAGTAATTTGTGTAAATATTAGAATACTAGAGTCGCCTTTAATTCAGAAATCATTTTGCTACGATCTTTGTTATTTATTGTAATTTGTAAATTCAAGCAATTCATCGTGCCTCTGGCTCCTACCCCTCCCCGCCATCTTCCACTATCCCAAATCCTCTGTTCTTACTGACCATTTACATATTTTATAACATTTTGTTTTTCATGTACGATAGATCAATTGACATCACAAAATCTTTTTTAGAAAAACTGACGTATGCATTATTGCTGATTAACAAATATTAACTCTACCTCCTCTCAATTTTATCAATCAAGATTTTTAATAATTAATTTTTTGAGTCTTAAGCGTATTGCGATAAAACGAGACAATCAAACAAAATATGTGACAAATCTACAAAAACAACGAATGAGTGCCTAAGAGAGTTGAGTACTTTTGTATAAATAGTATGAGACCTGTTGTAACACCGAAATAATAGAATTCTATTATTAAACAAAAAATTAAGCAAAGTATTTTCTTTTAATAACCTTATGAACTAAATTACTTGATGAAGAAAGGAGAGAGAAAACTATTGAAATGCCGAAAAAATCACTGACATATTCAAATAAAGGCAAATTTTTACTTCAGAAATTCTTTACATTTATTTAACTTTCAGGTGTAAAAAATGTTACACAATATCTTCAATACACATCCCGAAACTGCGATGCAACGATTGATAGTCCCAGGTATCAAAAGTGAAGAGCAGGACATTATAAGCGTAATATGGTTACATTGAACTACTATCAGATGGAAGCGTATCGCTGTATTACTATGCTACTAGTATAATACCAGTACGTCGTACTATCAGCGGCATTCAAATCAAGTATTAACAAAGGGTATAATGATGGTATGATTTTAGTGTTACGTTCATACCCTTCGCCCCCTGAGAGGGTTAGCGTAATTTTTTCCACCTATTTAAAGACTTTCGAATCTCAACAACACTTGGTACATAAGTTCCAACTTTGAGCAGTCATATTATTTTTAAATTCAGAGCCGGATTCATTCGTCTGGGAACCCCAAATCATATTTTTTAGTAGGAGGATCATGAAACTACGTCTCCCACATCCGATATAAGATTTAAATATAAACGACATGTACACGGGCATCGTAAATTTACTCTAAAACTAGAAACCTGATTTTTCCTTGTCTTGAGGGAAGGACAAAATTACCTTAAGGCAAACCAGCCCCGATTTTTGTGGAGTTTTCACAGACTGAACCTACCCTAGTATTCCAAGGTATTATAAAGGAGAGTGTAACAAACCAAGGAACCCCGCCCTACTACTTTATTATATCAAAAGGGCTAGTACAGCAGACATTATTCTCCCAGCAGCTACTGATCAAGTACGATTATTTTATTTTGGGCAAGAATAAATAATCAATGATGTTTACTACTTGAGATGGGAGACGACCAGAGAAATATGAATTTGATTCTGATTTCTCTGGAGGGAGAAGAAATTTATTCAATTCAGGTGGGGAGTTATAGGCAATGGCAAAGGAGTTATAGGCAATCACTCCATCACAGTATTCTTGCAACCGATTGTCAGCAACAGATTGAGGCTAATATCCTCCAACAGAATGGCAATGTTTTTCCAGACCAATTACCTCGAGCTGAGTGGGCAAATAGTAAGTAAAAGAGAGAACCAAATTTTCTCTTTAGTAACCAACATGAAAATGAACAGTCTCGTCTAGTGGATCCTCCACAAGAAGTACCCTGCGATTCCTTCAATGTGATCGAAGAAATTCAGTAGACGCAATGACAAATAGAAGAGAACAATACACCCCTACAATCGTTTTCTACATCCGCCTTTTTTTTTGTAGAATCAGTAGGAGAAGAGGATTTCATGCCTAATCTTGGAAGTGTAAAAGAGAGAAAGAAATGGAACAATGCTTGAACGCTAAGCAAATGAAGCGAACAGAGGCCGAGCGAGCAAGAAATTACTTTAATGAACTTTTAGAAGACGCCAGAACACAAGAAAATGCCCGGGAATACTGAGAATCCCTAAGGGCGCAGCCTCATTCAAACGGTGCTCTTCAAATGTAACATCATTTAGGTGAAGAAAATACAGATGAATTACATTGTTTCTTACAGTTATTTGAACTTCCAGGAAACCAGTATATGCCACAACATTTTTCCCTGGGTGGGCCCTTGTTCGCACCGATGCCACACTAGTCCTGCCACTCCCTAACAGTTAGGGCTCAACTCCGTCCCAAATAGTGTACTTGTTGATTTCACCAAGTTATATGGTAATTATAAATTTATGGTACTGGCGGGCGGCATCGAGACGGGAATTATCCGGGAGGACTCTTACCTCCACCTCTCGAAGTCAATCTTATAGTTCTCGGAGCATTATTCTCCAGGTTTAATATAACGGCTACAGCATTAAGGCAGAGGGATATTCCTCGCCCCGGCTTCCATGGCTGGGGTACCCTGGGCCAGACTCAGACGGACAAGCGGAGCCACGAATACCACGACCAGCACGACTCAATCTACCAATCTTCTTCCTCATCACTCTTCATTGCTTCCTCTTCTCCCCTTCCTCTTGCCTCCTCGAGTCACCCAAGAGGGATGAAGGATCCTCGTAGTTTGCGAGGTCGATTCTTCGACGGTCCATCTCCACGACTCTGACTTAATTAAGCGGTTCCTCTCCATAAATCCTTGCTTGATCGGCGACTTTCCTGCACACACCCTGAACTTCTTTATTCTGATTATCTACGCTGGAGCTTCACAAGTAACATAGTACACCTGTCAAATCCCTGGTAAATCAATAAACGTTTATGAATCTCTATTATTCTTCAGGTACTTACCAGAAGCTAAAAGTGGTAAATGAGGGATCTTGGGAATATAAAGTACAATAAACCATCATTTCTTAGCCATTCATGACAATCGTGTTTATTATTGCTTCAGATGTACCTTCGGATATTAATAAAGACATTAACGAACATATTTGAACACTTTTCGAACAGTAATCAAAACAACCAGTGATGGAGCGAACATGGAGAACTGAAAAAACTTGCACCAAATTTGGAGACTGCGTTGATTTTCCAACGACATCAGAAAAAGAAGTGTCTACATTTCAAATGGCAGCGGAAGCTTATAAACTGCTGGACAAATTGAGAGTAGAATTATCAGCAGAAACGGTGGAGCAACCTGGAAATCTCAATTGGAAAAGGCCATCGTCCCAGCAATACCAAAACTTCGCCAAACGTTTATTCAATGTGGTGCCTTGTTGCCACACTGTCAATATCAACCGCATGTGCAACATAGCGTTGTGCGAAAACAGTCTCAGTTCTGGGCTGACAGCATATCTCGAGATGAGCTTTTGGCAATCATCGAATCGAATGTAAACATTGTTGTACGACATGAGTTCATCAGGAAGCCAAATTATCAGCAACAGCAGATATGGAAATCAGAATGCCTCCCACTCCAATCTTTGAAAGCCATTAGAACAATCGATGAGATGATACCAGCAACGGAAGACCACATCATCCACTTTAACTACGGATATAATCAACTTCCGGAAAAATTAATCAATTCCATTTCAAATCAGCCTAGTCTCCAAAGAATTCACAAATGAGCTGACTATATCTAAGGAGGTGTCAGACAAATACTGTTTAAGGAACAGTAAGCATTGTCAAGTATTAGTAACCGTGCTGCGATTAGCTCAGGAGAATCTCCATGGCATTTTAACGGCAGGCCTAAAAATTAGGAAAATAGCAAAGAGTGGGAAAAAAAATAGCAACACGTAAAATCCACGCATAGCCGATGTTAACCCCTATTCTTTTTATTTTATAACAGAGAGCAAATTTCTGTATTTCTTGCGACTTGCTAAAACTGAACTAATACCGTCCATATTCTCCTAATATATTCAAATTGTTTTCACAATAGTGTTTTGCATGACGTTTTGGTATTTAAAAATCCACGTGAATAGCCTCCTCAATATTTACGATTTTATATTTCACGAATAGTTATTGTTTTTTGTTTCTCCTGAGGAAGTGCATAGATTTTGAGTATCGATACAAACAAAATGTTGATTGATCATAAAAGGAAGAAAAATCTAAATTTTGTCATTTGAATAAAAAAAAGGTAGAAATGATTGGTATGCAAAAATTGATTCAGAACTCGATAAAGTTCCAATTGAGTACAGGATTTAAGTAGACCGATACAGAATATGTAGCGTTATAAATTTTCAAATCGAATTTTTATCGTTACATTGAAATATTGAGTCAATTTACGCAATGACTCTACTGGGGCACGTGAAGAAACAAACGGCGCGTTATATCGAGTTAATGGATTGGATGTGATTTAATTAGGGCATCAAGAAGAGAAATTTATTTCCTTTCTGCCGTTATTCAATATCTAATTAATCAAGATATTTTGTACTTGCATAAGTGAAACATTAATGCCCCACTCAAAATAGTTGAGGAAATTTTTGAAAAAATAGTCTTCTGAAATTAATGAAAGTCCAATATTTTATCGTTATTGGTTTTCAAGAATGTGAGAATTTTAGGCCGAGCTGTGTTCGAAAATGTTCTCCTGAGTTAGACAAGTGGAAATGACCTCGAACGAGCCTGAAGTCCTTTTGATTTTGATTCTGTGGTGCGGATCCTAATATGTTCAGGCGGCATCAGATCAAAATCTTTTTTAGTTTAAGGTGATTGATAAGGTTCTGATTTAGTCTACCTTATTTTAATTTAAAAAGGAACGTTGAGAGAATTTAATTTTTTATATTCTTTTATTTATTTATAAACAAGCAGGCAACAGGAGTTATGCGACTGTAGATGAGCTATTGAAATATATGGATATATTTTTTTGCCATATATTTGTCCTCATATTTATTATAACGAGCTTCCGAATGGTTTTTACCATTTGTTTTTTCCCATTAATTAATACGTACAAAAAAATGTGGTATGTTATATTATGTATTAAGAATGTATTAAGACAAAAATTTTCAGATAAAAAACACATTCGATCCAGTCAATTTTGAGATATTCCACATAATAATTGTTCCGACGTGGAATGTGTGTGAAGCCTGTACATAGGAAAATAGTTAAATCTTTGGGCATTGCCCTTTAGGTAATTTCCCCCATTAAAGCTCTCCCTGTCGTCACAGATGGAAAGCAATACACAGCAATACTGGTAAAGACTGACCAAATTAAATGTTTACTTTCCGTGGCTCACATTTGATCACCAAATGTACAGAGTTTATCCAGAACAGTTCGATTTAAACGTCAAGTTCACCATGAGATAATGTCTTGGTCTTCCATAATAGTTTTCTACTTGCTCCTTTCTATCTAAAATATCCTTTACTAAATCAGCTAAATTGTACAAATTCGATGTTAATGAAAGATATCATTCATTTTAATGTCAGTAATTGTGTTTTTAATTATTATTCCATTGATTATTTGCCATTCCCATAGTTCGTGTTACAATAGTATATTTCCGGACTGTTGGGATGGGATTTTTTGCGGAGTGGAGTCCGGATAATATTTTTTCATAGTGATTCTCAAGTTTTTGAGTTTGGGAAATATGCAGTACCAATTCGCGGACGATAAATCGTGAGAAGCAGTACGAAAAAATAGTTTTTTACCGAATAATAATTTTACACTAAAAATTGGATATTCATGAAACTAATCCTTCAATTACGCTCCTCTTCAATACCATTTGTAATGGTAATAAAAAAATATTTCTTTTAAATTTCAAGTTTTTATACAGCTGAGAGGGTGAACAACGGTTTCAACTGGAAAATAAAAAAATCACAATATCTTCAAAATGTATGTTGTATCGGCGAGCATATGTGTCTTAATTGATTACTATAAAGGACATTCAGACGAAAATTTTCAGATATAAAAAACCGAATTTGGTTTAGTTAATTTTGAGATATTCCACATAATCATTTTACACGAAAAAATCAAGTTATTAGTTCGATTTTGGCGCAGGCGAGAGGGCGAACAACAATTTACTTTTCCAAAGACAGAAAAATCACAATAACTATGACTTCTTCCAAGGCTCTCTTCCCATCTTTTGATTGATCCCCATAATTCCAATCCTGACGAAGAAGATGAAAGAAAAAAACAATACCTAGAGATATTTCATTTATACACATAGAAATATTCAAAAATTATTGTATTTTTACATTTCACAATGACAATTCTACATAATTTGCAAACAAAATTAGAATTTTTTTTAAATCTGAATTGGACGACTGGAATGCTTTCGTTTGGAAGCAACACATCTTTAATCAAATGTACTAGTGTGGTATCGTAGACTGCGTGTTCACTGATTGGGCTTAAACCTTTTTTTTTAACTTCTCTTAAACGTCTGAAACAGATGAAACACTCCATTTTGTAATTAAAAAAAATACACCCTTTTCATTTTTCATAGAAGGAATTCCTCAAATTATTATTATTGTCGGAATCGTTAATGAAAAGAATCAAATTTCATCCAAATGAATTTTCTCTTTGAGAAAAATGGTGTTATTGCGGGAGATCATACACTGCCTAAAAAAATAGCATTGATCGCATCGATTAAGATTTGCGCGATTAATCGTTTTTTAAACCTGCATCGGCATGATTTAAGTATAATCAACGGTAAATAGAATTTTCAATGAATGATCGTGGGTTTCTCATGTAGATCATTTCAAAGTTAACAAACATAGTTTGACGTAATAATAATAACAGTTCAGTATAATGGTTCGGATGCAGGAAGGGAATTGGTTATCTTGCCTAAAAATTACTATATTTTTTCAATATTAGTAGCGGTGGAGTTTTTTTTTATTAAATGGAATAATGTGAAATAATTATGAATTTTCCGGAGGTGACTGAAGGTTCCGATTCAGTTATCATATTATTTTCTGATCAATGATCAGGTCTGACCTCATACAGTTTTCACTTGGATATGATGAAAATTTCCATTTCAATGAATGTTTTAAGGCCCGGACGGATTATCAGGAAAGATAATTTACTCCGAAATTTGGACTCCTAGTTCCTCCGGCAATTAACCGTTTTTTTCAATAATTGTTAGCTAGCGCCGTAGCGGTTGTCAACAACTAGAGCGCTAGCTAACAATTATCGGAAAAATCGATTAATTGATGGAGTAATTAGGAGTGCTAATTTTGGAGTAAATTATCTTTTCCAGACAATCGAACCGGGCCTCAAACAAAGTATAGAATATTTGAGGGTACATGGAAGCCAAGAGTTGACGAATCACTGATACGAATATCTGACATGTGATCCTCCCATAGGTAGTTCCAAGAAATTTTCATTTCTTGTAGCACGTCCCACATCCTCTTGAGGTCTTCCTGAGCCCTCAATTGTGTGACGATAGGAGGGGTACTCGATGGATTATGAGAGTGGGGGGAGGTGGGTATCAAAGAGGTCTATGAGGATAAGTTGGACTGCGGGAGCCCGCGGATCATTAGTCTTGAGGAACATCCCTAACCGGTCAAATCATTATGTGGTACATACTCACATTCCTCCTATTTCTATCAGGACATACCCTCGGACGACATCATGTAAGTTATTTTCTTACTACTCCAATACAATCCACTTTAATAATCCACAAGTTTAGCTTTCACTAAATGATCATCATCAATTAACTAATTAACTATGAGTGTGTATCACCAAGAATTTTGCAGAGGCCAAGGACTTGCAGCTGCTCCTTGGAGTACCAGTGATTACCAAACGGAATTCATTGTCACAATGTTTTCCATTATAACTCTTTTCATTAATATGCAATGCCCAATCGCCATTTTCCCGCGATTTTCCCATTTTCAATTTATTTCAGGTACTATACTACCGAATTTCTCAGAAATCAAGATATTTCCTTCGTTTTCAAAAAATTACAGCGAAAATATGAATGCACAAAAAATCATTGGTATATTAAATTCAATACGAAATGACTTAAATCTGCTGACAAATAATGGGTATTAATTTTCGATGACAAGTATATTAATTTTGTTTTCCATTAATCATCACTTTAGCCCATGAAGACACCAAAAAGTTAATATTTATGCCCTCGTAGTATAAAATACAATGGGCAGAACATTTTTTCACAAGACGTTTTCTTTTTCAATAAAACCGGTAATGTGATAATAGAGTCAATGGGATATCACAGTTGACATGATAAGTCAACCTAATTGAAATATTTACCTCAGCTAAAAAATCTTTGTTATTCCCCATTCGCAGCATCTGGGGGAGATTCATGAAAAAACGAGATTCGATCGCTCTATGAGTCGAGATGATAATCTCCTGAATTTGGGCATCGAAGCTTTTGTCGATGAAGAATCGGTGAGTAAATTATAAGTTTAAAAAATTTTTCTAAACAAAAATGTAGATCTTTTGAATCTAAAAAGTAAAAAGGGGCGTCAAAAAAATGTAGAATTATAGAATTAGAAAGCACAGGAACAAATTATACGGCCTCATCCACTAAGCAAAAGATAAAACCTCTCAAGCAAAATTTAGCTGAAATATATAATATTATTCAATTTTTTCCCTCACCAATGAAGAAGGATATTATCACCAACGTTTTTTTACTTCGCATACAAACGATAATAATCTACTTAATTCTCAGAAATATGAAGCGTTTAAGGCAAGGAATTCCGAATCTAAGATTTGTTTTCTGAGAAAATCCGATGGAACCGGAGAAGAATGGCACTTTGTTACGAATAACCACGGTAGGATCATCTTTCCATCTGGTGTGGACCTAACAAAAATCGAAGTACATCATATTTTTTTATCTTTCCAATGATTCTCGTCAACTAATTCGCGTTCTCAGGCTTTTAACAATTAAAAATTACATGTTTCAGGCCTGGAAATTGGCCGGGGACAAGATCGTAGAGTTTTGCGATGGAAAACTAATACAAATACTGGAGGATGATCGTCCAGCTCAGAGCAACATTGAAGATCCATTTTTTAACGAAATTCCTTTCAATGAGAATGATATAGTCCAAAAACCCATAGGGGATATTGTTTTAGAAACTTCGAAAAAACGTGAAAAACGTGAAGTTACATTAGAACATGTCAAAAAACCAAATGTGGAATTGGTGAGAAAACGTCGAGAAGGACGCGCAAGATTCCGTGGTCAAACGCAGTCGCAGTATTTAAATATCGGCGATGATGCGGGTAAAGAAGGAAAAGCCGAAGCCGAGGCTACCGATCAAACTTCACGGGCTGTTGTCAGTGAGTGCTAGCCTTGCCAGCCTATCTCCCAGCCTATCAATACAAATACAAATACAAAACTCATCTCTATCATTTAACTAAGGGGGAATTAATTATTCATTAAAATATTTCCCATTTTCCATTAAACAACTAACTTTTGTAAGCTTATTCTTAAATAAAATACAATAAATTAATATGCCAATTAAATAGTTAATTAATTAATTCTTCATCTATTATTAATTCAACGGAAAACCAATACTGTAATAACGTTTTTTTCTTCGGCACTTTATGCAAGGATTATTAAAAATTTACACTTTCTATTTCACTTGAGATGGAGCAATGGAAAAAGTGGTAATCAGAGAATTGTTCAATGTCGAATTGATTATATATTATAAATTTTATATCGGTATGCCGACACCGCATTGATAAAAATGAAAAACTCCAATGAAAATGTGACTCTCAAACTCAAAGTCGCGATAGCCAAAATGACGGATGAGTTTCCTTGGAATTGGAAAAGAAGACTTGAAAAAGTGCCTTCACCCATTTGATTAACGGAATTTTTTTATTTATTTAATAATTCATAATAACTTTATAAGAGCGACAGTGCGACGGAGAAAATAATACCATTATACTCTTCATCTCCAGATGAGCTGTCCTCACGACAATCTCAATTATTTGCTCCATTCCCGGTGAGTTAATGAAATAATGCTTGTCTAAAAAAAAAGTCAATGAATATTTTTTAGCCGGAACCAGTGGAATGGGTCAAGCACAAAGCATGTCATTAGGTGGTTCATGCGAGGACTGTTCGGTTTACCCCGGCCACACAAGCCTTGTCCCACCAGGACAATATGTAAGCCCAGGGCTACCCGGAGTTGTTACCCCAGTTACAACTCCTGGAATACAACCAGGACAACCTGGGATATCATATCAGAGATATCCTGGTCGGCCAGATCAACCAGGAGCGCCATATCCACCTGGTTATCCTGTATTTTCCCATCCACCAGCCGGGCCTTTTCCTGGTGGGGTTACAATCCCTGGCAAGCAAACAGGACAACCGGGCGTTTTATATCCACCGGGTTATCCAACAATCCACCCAGGGCACCCACCAGTAACTTATCCTGGTTACCCTGGAGCAGTTATGACGACCACACAAGAGCAACCACTCCAGCCCGGAGTCTCTTATAGACCTGGATATCCTGGAGATGTCGGGACAATTCCTGCGCAACCAGGAGTGTCCTATCCCACCGGTGGTCTATCAACCAGAGGTCAACCTGGAGGCTCACCTGGAGTATCCTATCCACCATCAGGTCAACCACCAGTGCCTTATTCACCTGGTTATACTGCAGGTGTAGTTATGACGCCCGATGTACAACAATATCCCGGGATGTCGTTTCCAGGACAGCCAGGAGTCGCCTATCCAGGAATTCAACCAGGTCAGCCGGGAATGTCCTATCCCAGTGCAGTGACGCCAGGAGTTCAATCAGGACAGCCAGGAATATCCTATCCCAATGGAGTATCACCAGGAATTCAACCAGGACAGCCAGGAATATCCTATACAGGTGGAGTACCATCTGGAGTTCAACCAGGACAGCCGGGAATTCAACCAGGTCAGCTGGGAATATCCTATCCCAGTGCAGTACCGCCAAGAGTTCAACCAGGGCAGCAGGGAATATCATATCCAGGAATTCAACCAGGTCAGCCGGGAATATCCTATCCCAGTGCAGTACCACCGGGGGTTCAACCAGGGCAGCCGGGAACATCATATCCAGGAATTCAACCAGGGCAGCCGGGAACATCATATCCAGGAATTCAACCAGGTCAGCCGGGAATATCCTATCCCAGTGGAATACCACCAGGAGTTCAGCCA